CATGAACTTTATCAACCCTCGTCTTAAAACTATATAGGGTTCCTGTCTCCACTACGTAACTTTCTAGGCTATTCCATTTCCTGACAACTCTGTGACTGAAGAAATACTTCCTAACGTCCCTTTGACTCACAGGAGCCTTCAACTTTCACTTGTAACCCCTTGTTTCTGTGCCCCATCTCTTGAACATTTTGTCTTTGTCTACTTTGTCAGTTCCTCGCAGTATTTTATATGCCGTTATCATGTCTCCCCTGACCCTTCTTCCCTCCAGTGTCGTCAGGCCAATTTCCCTTAACCTTTCTTCGTAGGACAATCCCCTTAGCTCTGGGACTAGTCTTGTTGCAAACCTTTGCACTTTCTCTAATTTCTTGACGTGCTTGACCAGGTGTGGATTGCAAACTGGTGCTGCATACTCCAGTATGGCCCTCACGTAAGTGGTGTACAGAGTCTTGAACGATTCCTTACTGAGGTATCGGAACTCTATAGTTAGGTTTGCCAGACGCCCATACGCTGCAGCAGTTATCTGACTGAAGTGCGCCTCAGGAGATGTGCTCGGTATTATACTCACCCGAAGATCTTTTTCCTTATGTGTGTGTGTATGTACTCACCTAGTTGTACTCACCTAGTTGAGGTTGCAGGGGTCGAGACTCAGCTCCTGGCCCCGCCTCTTCACTGATCACTACTAGGTCCTCTCTCTGCTTCCTGAGCTTTGTCATACCTCGTCTTAAAGCTATGTATGGTTCCTGCCTCCACTACATCACTTGCTAGGCTATTCCACTTCATGACGACTCTATGACCGAAGAAATACTTCCTAACATCCCTGTTACTCGTCTGACTCTTCAGCTTCCAATTGTGACCCCTTGTTTCTGTGTCCCCTCTCTGGAACATCCTGTCTCTGTCCACCTTATCTATTCCACGCAGTATTTTGTATGTCATTATCATGTCTTCCTTGACCCTCCTGTCCTCCAGTGTCGTCAGTTCGATTTCCTTCTACCTTTCTTCGTAGGACATTTCCCTGAGCTCCGGAACTAACCTTGTTGCAAACCTTTGTCCTTTCTCTAATTTCTTGACGTGCTTGACCAGGTGTGGGTTCCAAACTGGTGCTGTATACTCCAGTATGGGCCTGACGTACACAGTGTACAATGTCTTGAACGATTCCTTATTAAGGTATCGGAACGCTATTATCAGGTTTGCCAGGCGCCCAAATGCTGCAGCAGTTATCTGGTTGATGTGTGCCTCCGGAGACGTGCTCGGTGTTAGGGTCACCCCAAGGTCTTTCTCCTTGAGTGAGGTTTGCAGTCTTTGTCCACCTAGCCTCTACTCTGTCCACGGTCTTCTTTGCCGTTCCCTAATCTTCATGACTCTGTATCTGGCAAGGTTGAATTCGAGATGCCAGTTGCTGGACCAAGTGTGCAGCCTGTCCAGGTCTCTTTGTAGTCCTGCCTGATACTCATCCGATTTAATTCTCCTCATTAACTTCACATCATCTGCGAACAGGGACACTTCAGAGTCTATCCCTTCCATCATGTCATTCACATATATCAAAAATAGCACTGGTCCTAGGACTGAACCCTGTGGGACCCCGCTCGTCACAGGCGCCCACTTTGATACCTCATCACGTACCATGACTCGTTGTTGCCTCCCTGTCAGGTATTCTCTGATCCATTGCAGTGCCCTTCCTGTTATACACGCCTGGTCCTCCAGCTTCTGCACTAATCTCCTGTAAGGAACTGTGTCGGCGGCCTTCCTGCAGTCCAGGAAAATGCAATCAACCCACCCTTCTCTCTCGTGTCTCACTTCTGTTACCTTATCATAGAACTCCAGAAGGTTTGTGACACAGGATTTTCCTTCCATGAATCCGTGCTGATTGTCGTTTATGATCTTGTTCCGTTCCAGGTGCTCCACCACTCTCTTCCTGATAATCTTCTCCATTACTTTGCATATTATACACGTCAGAGACACTAGTCTGTAGTTTAGTGCCTCGTTTCTGTTTCCTTTCTTAAAAGTGGGGACTACATTTGCTGTCTTCCATACCTCAGGTAGTTGCCCAGTTTCAAGGGATGTATTAAAGATTGTGGTTAATGGCATGCACAGCTTCTCTGCTCCTTCTCTAAGGACCCACGGGGAGATGTCCGGACCCATAGCCTTTGAGGTATCAAGGTCACTTAGCAGCTTCTGCACGTCCTCCTCCATTGTGTGTATGTCGTCCAACACTTGGTGGTATATTCCCTGTTGATGTTCCCCTCTGTGCTGTCTTCCCAGAGCCCTTTCTGTCTCTACTGTAAATACTTCCTTAAATCTTGTGTTGAGCTCCTCGCATACCTCGTGATCGTTTCTTGTGAGTTTCCCACCTTCTTTCCTCAGCCTCATCACCTGGTCTTTGACTGTTGTCTTCCTCCTGATGTGGCTATACAGCAGTTTCGGGTCAGACTTGACTTTCGATGCTATGTTATTTTCATACTGTCGCTGGGCCTCCGTCCTTACCTGTGCATACTCGTTCCTGGCTCTTCGACTAATCTCCTTATTTTCCTGTGTTCTTTGCTTTCTGTACTTTTTCCATTCTCTAGTGCACTTAGCTTTGCCTCCTTACACCGTCGTGTAAACCAAGGGCTCGTTCTGGTCTTCCCATTATTTCTGTTGCCCTTAGTAACAAACCTTTCCTCAGCCTCCTTGCATTTTCTTGTTATGTATTCCATCATTTTGTTTACCGACTTTCCTGCAAGTTCTCTGTCCCACTGAACCTCCTGCAGGAAGTTCCTCAAACCTATGTAGTCCCCCCTTTTGTGTGTGTGTGTGTGTGTGTGTGTGTGTGTACTCACCTAGTTGTACTCACCTAATTGAAGTTGCAGGGGTCGAGTCCTAGCTCCTGGCCCCGCCTCTTCACTGGTCGCTACTAGGTCACTCTTCCTGAACCGTGAGCTTTATCATACCTCTGCTTAAAGCTATGTATGGATCCTGCCTCCACTACATCGCTTCCCAAACTATTCCACTTTGTCTACTCTGTGGCTGAAGAAATACTTCCTAACATCCTATGATTCACCTGTGTCTTCAACTTCCAACTATGTCCCTTGTTGCTGTGTGTGTGTGTGTGTGTTCGTATGTGCGTGCCTGCGTGTGAGTGTCCTTATTAGGACGGTGCTAGACTTGTGGGGTGAAAGTAGCGTATCGGTCTATCAACACGCTTATGCAAACATCCATTAGGCAACTGGTGTTTCCGTTTATTTTTTATTATAATTGCTGTGTCAGTTAAATTTAGCTCAGTTGTAGTCTTCTTACTTTATTTTAACAGTTATTATAATCAGTGTCATAGAGAAGTCCTAAACCTGTAAGGGCCATGCAGCATCAGGCCCTTACAACTGTGTCGTTCCAGTTGACGTGTGTCGGGAGAAGTGATAAGGTTGTGTTGAATCACGATAAAGCTGGTGTACTCACCTAATTGTGGTTGCAGGGGTCGAGACTCGGCTCCTGATGTTTTGCCTTCCCACATGAGTGGTGTCTTTGTTGGCTGCAATGTTACTGGTGTTTAGGTTGTTCCGGAGCCACGCAAATGCAAACATTGCTCCAGTTACTCCAGTCCTCGCAAATGTAAACATTGCTCCAGCTACTCCAGTCCTCGCAAATGTAAACATTGCTCCAGTTACTCCAGTCCTCGCAAATGTCTTGTTCGCAGTTTGTTTTAGGTGTCCGGAGCCACGCAATGCAAACATTGCTCCAGTTACTCCAGTCCTCGCAAATGTAAACATTGCTCCAGCTACTCCAGTCCTCGCAAATGCAAACATTGCTCCAGTTACTCCAGTCCTCGCAAATGTAAACATTGCTCCAGCTTACTCCAGTCCTCGCAATGCAAACATGCTCCAGCTACTCAGTCCTGCAAATGTAAACATGCTCAGCTACTCAGTCCGCAAATAAACATTGCTCCGTTACTCATCCCGCAGGAAAGCCGTCATAAGAGAACCAAGCTGTTAGCAAAAACAGTAGAAGAAAAAACTGTTGGTTACTTAATAAAAAAAAAATATGCTTTTTCATTAAGAGAACATTATCTGTTGGTAATAAACCAAGAGAAGAAAAATTGTCTGTTTTAACATAAAGTATGTTTTCATTCAAGAGTAGTACATGTTCATGATCTTATTTCGATAGTAAACGTACCATGCAATGAAAATTTGTCAAAATTTACTGTAAGTTCTCCATCTACATTTATATCATTTCATAACTATTCATTAGATAAACGAAATCGAGCCCATCGAATACGATCATAATAACTCGTTAAACGTATGGAACTCGAACTATGGCGACCCAATTGTAAAACTTGCAGGTCACTGTGTTAACCACTGTACCATGCCGGCCAGCATGGTGCAGTGGTTAACGCACCATGCTGGTTAGTAGTAGTAATAGTGTAGTAGTGGTAAGTTTCATTCTCCTGTGTGAGGGTTATTTGTGTATTGTTCCAGTCACGGTATTGTGTCTTTTTATTCTTTTCAAGATTACTCTAAATAGGTGCAATTATTTACACCAAAGGAACTTTAACATAGGCCCCATGTTAACATTTATTGCACAATAACAACATAGGCTTAGATTTACAATAAAAAAAATACGGGACTAGTTTTATAGAATAATAATGAAAAATAAGTTGACCCTACAAAATAAAAATGGCTACCGTTTATTAAAGAAAACAAGAAACATGTGATGGTTTAATAGACTGTTTGCTAAGTTATAGACTGAATAAGCTGGTGTTTATTAAACAATAGAACAACAACTAGGCTGGTGTTCATTAAACTATAGATAAAAAAAGGTAGGAAAGTATTTGAGAAAAAAAAATAAAACATATACTGGCATTTAATCAGCAAATGGACAAAAAAAAAAAGTCAGCATTTATTTAAAAAACAGAGAAATGGGTGTTGGCAGAGAGCAGCAGCGTAGTTGTCCGCGTGACGCAAATGTCAACATTGTCACATAGTTTGCTAAATACTTGAAGTTGCAAGGTGATGAAGAGACCACTTTTGCAGGTGTTGTGGTGAGGCTACCCAGGTACACCAGGCTGGCAGAGCAACGCCAGGGCTACGGTACTGCTTCCTCCATCCGTATGTAGTCTCATGTTTCTGTCATAATATTATTGGTCAAAATGTTATGTCATGTCAACAGGTTATTGGAAGCAAGGCACAAAATGCAAACAATAGGACGCTTTAAATCTAATGTATTTGTGTTTGCATTTTGTTTCTTTTTCCATAAGAGTTATTTAGTATTATTATCTCGGGCTTGTTTGATTAATTGTGTTTTTAAAGCCTATCGGCGCATGAGGTCATTAGGGTTGTATATCACCTATTCACCACTTATCAGGAATACTTTAATCTTAAATAGTGCTTATTAGGATTAAAGTAAACGCTAAGTGTGTGTGTGTGTGTGTGTACGTACTCATTTGTACTCACCTATTTATGGTTGCAGAGATCGAGTCGTAGCTCCTGGCTCCGCTTCTTCGCTGCTTACTACTAGGTCTACACTCTCCCTTCTCCATGAGTTTTATCGTACCTCTTTTTAAAAATATATGTATAGATCCTACTTCCACTACATCACTCTCCAGATTGTTCCACTTCCCGCAACTCTATGACTGAAAAGTACTTCCTAATATCCTTATGACTCATTTGGGTCTTCAACTTCCAGTTGTGACCCCATGTTGCCGTGTCCCGTCTCTGAAACATCCCGTCCCTATCCACCTGGTCAATTCCTCTCCGTATTTTATATCATTATCATGTCCGCCCCCCCCCCCCTTCCTATTCTTCCTGTCCTCCAGTGTCGTTAAGTCGATTTCCCTTAAATTCTCATCGTAGGACATAGCTCTTAGCTCCGGGACCAGTCTTGTTGTAAACCTTAGTACTTTCTCTAATTTCTTGACATGCTTGACCAGGTGTGGGTTCCAAACTGGTGCTGCACACTCCAATATGGTCCTGACGTACACGTGTACAGAGTCTTGAATTATTCCTTACTCAGGTGTTGAAACGCTATACTTAGGTTAGGCCTTAGTCATGCGCTACACAAGACACATCGATCAACAACGGGTCACATATACGACGGTGGTGTAAAAAAAACTTACTGCACCGCCAGTCATATTAAGGTATAGCACATTAGGGAAGCACTGGAAAAATACAAATTTCAGAGATACAAGCTGCACTTTTCAGGCATTATTTGTATGGTCACAAACTTCTGTGCAAAATTTCAGACCATTTCATTCCCATTTACCCCGCAGCATCGCGGTCGACTTTTCGTCAAATTATACACCACTGAAAGCAATTAGTTATAAATTATTGGTTGTCAGGATAATCAAGTGTACATGGTTTATATAATTTTTGGTTGTGAAGATTGTATAATAAAATGTACATGGGTAATATCAATCATTAACTATTTAATTTTAAACTATTACAAGTTATAAGTGAAGTCTTCCTTGGTGTGGAACTTGGGTATCACTTTCCTGCAAAATATTCTTTGCCTGATATATCCATCTCTTGCCTTCTGTCGAGTCACTTCAGTACAAGCTTCACTCATCAGTTTTATCTCTCTCTCAACAGCTTGGTGTTGCTTGGCCACTTGGGCACCTCCAGTGGAGTCTCAGTAATTTTCAGAACCTGTTGATGTGATAGAGAAGCAATGAAAGGAGGCTCAATTTTGAGCTCAGTCTTCCAGTCAATCATGGAATGATAGTTCTTTGTTTGCCACTTTAGTTTGGGAATCATTACTTTCTTGAGTTGACAATTGGGGCCAGTTTTACCTATTCGGCACGACATTATATATATATATATAATTATATTATATATATATATATATATATATATATATATATATATAATATATATATATATATATTAATATGCAAAACAAGCCACATGGGGATGGAAATCTTTAGTTTAAAATCTTTCGCATTTTCCGTGCCTCATCAGGAGCAATGCAATGTTGCAAGACTAGCAACAGACAGTAGGAGAAAAAATCTCTAAGGCAAGGCAGAAGGTAAAGCGTCAGGCGGCTGTAACTGTGTACGGGTGCCATCTGCCACTCACCTACCTCCACCTGTCCCCTCTTCCCCCTTACGGGGTAGATGGAGGGTAGAAACCTCAAAAGTTTATAGAAAGCTTGTTTTGCAGATAATTCAGAGGTTGAAGACTAAGAGGTGTGGAGGTTCCGAAAATATTCAGAGGACTGAGGAGAGATACATATAGGGTGACTAAAAGAGCGTATAAGTAAGAGGTGGAGAGGTCACCCTAGGAAAGGTTGGAGGGAGGGGATAACGAAAGTGTGGACATTCAAGAAGTTTGGGTGAGCGTCTTAGATAGGATTGAATGGCGGAAAGTGTCTTTTTACGATTTAACGTGTTGTTGGCGTGTGAGCAAGGTAACATTTATAAAGAAGTTCAGGGAAACAGGTTAGCCGTACTTGAGTCTTGGAGCTGGGAAGTACAGTGTCTGCACTCTGAAGTACAGAGCAACTGAACTATGATGTCATTGCGCTTCCGGCAAGACAGTGATTGAATGACACTGAAAGTGTTTTCTTGTTTATCGAATTTATGTATATATATATATATATATATATATATATATATATATATATATATATATTATATATATATATATATATATATACTATATATATATATAATTATATATTATATATTATATATATATATATATATATATATTATATACACACACACACACACAGTTGGAAGCTGAAGACACAGATGAATCACAGGGATGTTAGGAAGTATTTCTTCAGCCACAGAGTAGTCAGTAAGTGGAATAGTTTGGGAAGCGATGTAGTGGAGGCAGGATCCATACATAGCTTTAAGCAGAGGTATGATAAAGCTCACGGCTCAGGGAGAGTGACCTAGTAGCGATCAGTGAAGAGGCGGGGCCAGGAGCTCGGACTCGACCCCCGCAACCTCAACTAGGTGAGTACAACTAGGTGAGTACAACTAGGTGAGTACACACATTGTTCCACAATACTAATACTAATTTTAGAGGGTGACAACAGCTGGACTGTAAATACAGTATTGAATAAGTAAAGCAAGTTTGTAATTGAATTCAGATAAATATTTTGTCATTTTTCATTATCTGAACAATACGTACAATCATAATGTAAATTTTGTGGTAAATAGAGGCCAACAAAATAAAGAAATGAAGCGAATAAGAGGCAGAGAGAAAATTAAAAACGAGCGAGAGAATTAAGAAGACAAATACTATTTTTTATTATTATTATAATTATTCCATTAAAAGAACTAGCACTAAACCCGTATGAATCATGCTGCTTAAAGAGTCAATATTGTAAAATATGCACTATACCTGTACGGGTGATAGCGAGTAATACAAGTGTAGCCTTAGTTACCAGCTGACAAAAGTGCTTGCCGATAGACATCTGGCCTGTTGTGTGTGTTAGAGGGGGGGGGGCGGTAGCTGCCTGACTCCCTCCCCTGCTAGACTGCTTTCATGCCTTGCTCAGACCTGTTTATTAAGTACCAAGTTATCCTGACGCATGTATACATTATCATCATGGGTTGCCTCATACTGCCCACTTGTAATACAACTCAGGGAGGTGGGATTAAAAACTGGCAGTGCAGTATGCTCTTTGGCTGTAAGACAGCCTCTATGCTAGTATGGTTAGGTGACTTACATGTGTGAGTGCATGTGTACAACACACACACACACACACACACACACACACACACACACACACACACACACACACACAATATATATATATATATATATATATATATATATATATATATATATATATATATATATATTCGCACAAGAAATTGATTACCATAGAGCAGGACGGAGACCCAGGGGAGTAGTGGATGAACCTGGGAGGGAAGATTGGATGGCAGAGCTCAGGAAAAGGGGAGAAGAGTGGGGAAGGAAGCTAGGAGAGCTTCGCAAGAAAATGGAGGAGAGGATAGCTGCAGAGAGCAGGAAATGAGAGCTACAAGCCACAGCAGCAGCAGAAGCTAAGATACAGAGCTTAGAAGAGGAACTAGAAAATCTGAAACAGTCCAAGCAGCCAAAGAATAGTATGGGCATGACATCGGGAACTGCTACATCAGTCACAAAGGAGGGGACTGCAGAGACCAAAGGAGATATACTCTATGCAGAGGCCTTATCAGACAACCGTGGAGCCTGGGAAAAGATGAGCACACCAGGAGCAAACGAGGGGACTGGAGAAAATGAAAGAGCTAAGCTATATGAAGAGGCCCTAACAGACTATAGCAGTATCCAGGAAAAACTGAGAAGGGAAAATGACAAACCAATAAGCATAGGGACATCAGATAGAGAAGAGAACTGAAGGAAAGAGTGCTGAAATGGAGGCAGCTAAATTGACTCAGGGGATGCAAAGGGAAATGTAGTCTAAGAATGAAAGGGCGAGGTCAGTTTTTGTTTATGGGCTCCAGGAAGTTAAAGGGGAAACTTATGAAGCAAGAAGACCGTGGAAAAAAAGCAATTGAAAGTATCATAAAAGCAATATGATAAGATGACATATCCCAGTTGACAAACTTTCTGAGAATAGGGTGATTTGCAAGAGGTAAAAAAACGGCCACTCAAAGCGATTTTCAAGGCCCGGTGGCCTGGTGGCTAAAGCTCCCGCTTCACACACGGAGGGCCCGGGTTCGATTCCCGGCGGGTGAAAACATTTCGACACGTTTCCTTATACCTGTTGTCCTGTTCACTAGCAGCAAATAGGTACCTGGGTGTTAGTCGACTGGTGTGGGTCGCATCCTGGGGGACAAGATTAAGGACCCCAATGGAAATAAGTTAGACAGTCCTCGATGACGCACTGACTTTTTGGGTTATCCTGGGTGGCTAACCCTCCTGGGTTAAAAATCCGAACGAAATCTTATCTTAAGGCAGAATCGGCTCAAAACAGGATCCTGGAGGAGAAAGCACGACTAAGGGACATACCAACATACTGGAGGGTGTACCTCAACAATGACAGAATACAAGAAGAAAGGCAGAAACTGAAAGAGAGTGTACAAAGACACAAGGAGGAAAGAGAAGCAAAAATGGAGATAAGCAGGAGAACCCAGACTCAGGAGGAAGAG